GTATAAAAGAATTTCACACGCGTACTGACTTTACGGTTTCTTTCCGTGGTGACAAAGTGTTCCTGAAAAGAAGCAGACTGTGCAAGGCAGACTCGCAGCAGGAGAACAATATGTGGACTAAAGAAACATGTCTTCCTAAAAGCATTAACCCGTGTCGCCAGTGCATCCTGTCCTTGGTCTAGGAACTTGATATACAGATAAAAACAAAAACACAGCATCAGTTTTGATGGATGAGGACATTTAAACTCAGATTCTTCGAAGCCGAGAATCAGTGTGGATGCGCTCCATGGTGGCCTCCAACGTGGTTCACTGACCATAACAATTAGGGCTCTCCTCAGTTCCTGGATGATCCAAACAGGCCATATAACACATTAGTAACATATGAATGGGAACTGAAAGTGGAAGTGTGTGTGTGTGTGTGTGTGTGTGTGTGTGTGTGTGTGTGTGTGTGTGTGTGTGTGTGTGTGTGTGTGTGTGTGTGTGTGTGTGTGCGTGTGTGTTAAAATGGGAAGGATTGAAAATCAGCCAGACACAGAGCCATGACGAGATCAAGAATCAGGGACAAAGGAGACAGAGAGCAGCAAATAGAAAGGCCGCCACTTCTATCGTCGGCGTATCACCCCAAGGCCACCCACGGTTCGCTTGACAAAATCCAAGGTTCTGGATGCGATAATTAACCGGATCAACCACACTACTGAGGATAAACATAATTATATTGGAGGACGCATAATTATTGCAGTTATCATACAAGTGCTTACCAGCAGGAGGGTTGTTGCTTTTATTTATATCGTTATTATCAACGTTGTTGTTATTGGTATTGTTTTCCTTATTTTCCGTTTTGCATTTGCACCTTATGCAATACAATTATTTCATAGTCTGTCCCATGTTGTTATTTGATTAATAATAAGCTAGAAAATACTCCGAGGGAGCAAATCTCGGCCAAATGCTATATACCAGATTTCAAAATAAGGTTGCCACAAATGTCTGACTGAAAATTAATTAATCTTGCAGTGTTTTTTATGATGATTGATTTGGTAAAATACTATATCCAAACGCGGTTCACCACCATAAATCCAACCACACATTTTCATCACACTCTGTCAGTAACTTTTCACATAATGATTAACTAAATAGTAACAAATAGACGTGAACAAAGTTATTACACTTCGTTCGGCGGTGATAACGGTCTGTTTATTAACTTCCGGGTTTCCTTATACTTTTTCATTTTTCTTAAACCTTTTCTTAATCCTTCTTAACACTTTAATTTCCTCCTGTACATCTACAACATTAACGAAAGTATTTTTCTGTTAAGCAACAAATCTTCCTTGAA